TCTAAGACAAAACCTGGATCCCTTCGATCAGTATGACGACGCGACTTTGAACGACGCCCTGAAAGCATCGGGTTTGTTCTCGCTGCAGGACGACGATAATGAAGGTGCTCTAAATCTTGATAGCGCCATTTCAAGCGGCGGTAGCAATCTCTCCGTCGGTCAACGCCAAATCATTGCTCTTGCGCGCGCGATTGTCCGAGGCAGCAAGCTCTTGATTCTTGATGAAGGTTAGACAATATCTTGCATCCGAGGATCATCATTCTCAGCTGTCATCCACAGCAACATCTGCCATAGATTACAAAACGGACACCGTGATTCAGTCTTCACTTCGAAACGAGTTGAAGGGTGATGTTACCTTGATCACTGTTGCCCATCGACTTCAAACGATCATGGATGCTGACAGAATTGTACGTATCAGTTGTAGTTGTCCCATAAATGTTGACTGGGATTGATTGGCTTTACCTTTCGCAGCTCGTCCTTGATGCTGGAAATATTGTAAGCCCGCTTCTTCTGACTTTGACCACCTGTTCAATACTCACATTCCGAAGGTCGAATATGACAGTCCCTCTGCGCTATTGAAACAGGTGAACGGGCGTCTCCGAGCAATGGTCGATGAGTCGAACGATAAAGATACATTGTATGCCATGGCAGAAGGCAAGAGGATTACGCTTTGAACGCCGTTTGATATGAGTGTATATACTTATATATGGTGTCGAAATGTTGAAAATAGAGTGTATATAGAAACAAAGCAGTACACGAGCATTGTACAATGCCAAGTTGTCATGAAAATAGCGGGGAGTAATCAACCAAGCTTCAGCCGCGGCAACAAGTATTTCGAACAAGATTTTTATCTTCTGTAAACTTCGACAGCTTCACGACTGCGAGGAGGATATTCCCTGCGAGGAGGTGGCCCAGGAGGTGTAGCCGGATAGTTACCATCAGGTCCAGGAGCATACTCGTAGGCACCAGAAGAACGGCCAGCGGGACTTTCAGAACGACGCCTGTAACAACGTTAAGAAGAGTTAAAGACAATGTAGGATATATTCATGCCTAAATCTAGTCTCAGGTGTTGCACCTCGAGGATAATCAGCAAACCGGGGTGGTGTCATAGGACGACCGCGGTAATCCGGATAATCACTGAAAGATATTGGAACCAGACCGACAGGACAAAGGACTAGATAGCTCACCGAGGCATCCGATCGAAGTCTTCTCGATATCTGGGAGGAGTTCTAGGACGTCCACTTGGAGGGGGAGGATACGAAAATCGCTCCGCCTTTTTGTCATAGCGATCGTAGCCATAGGCAGGCGGAGGAATAGGTCCACGGTAAGCAGCCTCGGGAGGATAGCGGCCCCTGTCAAGATAGCGGTCACGCTCCATCATTGGGGGAGGACGTCTGTAGTCGTCATATCGACTAGGTGGAGGTGGGTATTCACGATAGTCTCTGACAGGAGATGGGGGTCGCCGAAAGTCACGCGCAGGAGGTGGGTAGTCATAGCGCGTGTCACGAGGAACAGGCGGAGCATGATCACGTTGAATACGTTCAATCAAGGGGGGTTCGTTAGGGCGACGAGGTGGAGGGCTACAATACTATTGGTGAGAAGACGACACAACCTACGGACTATCACTTACGGCCCTGCAATCGGACATTCCCTGATTTGCAACGCATCAAATACAGTCTCTACGCAATCAATGGAAAGCTTACCTTGCCCAATGGCCCATCTGCCCACACCTGAAACAGGCCCCAGGATCACTTGAGTATTTCGCCGTCCTACCGCCACCATGAGACAGTTCGACGCGAATCTTGTTACCCATGAAGTAGCCTTCGTTGTATTTTGCAACGCTTTCTTCGGCAGCCTCACGGTTGTCAAATTCCTGCATTGGTTGAGTGGGAGACATGACATATTCGTGGGAATTGTCGTACCACAAAACCATAACCAATTCTGCAGTAAATTGCGGTCAGATAAGAACGTGATGGCCGAGATAAACGCGCACTTGAGTTCTATGTTAACAATGTTACCAATTTTCCCAAAACATCCTTGCAAATCCTCTTGACGCGTGTTCTCGGGAAGACCTCCGATATAGACTTTGTTCGGCTACACAGCAGAAAGTAAACACCCAGTAGAGATATAGTGGAGGAAAAGTGCAGAGGGGGGAACGTTGTCGAGCCCCGAGAAGAATAAGCCAAGAGCCTGCAATGAGAGTCAAGTAAAGCCAACTCAAGGTCACCCATTGAGCAAAGGAGAGACGCCAGGCTGCCAAACCAAACAGGGGGCCTTTTTCTTCTCATATCTTCCTTCTTTTTGGACTCTAACAAAGACGCACTGAAGCAATAGACAGGAAAGACCTAAGCACCTTCACTTGCTTTTCGCGGAACATAGGATCGCCCTTTGTGCTAGAACCGGAGACGGCGGGGTCTGTGCTGGAACCCCGCTTGTAGTCTGCAGCCTCCGGTCCCTGGCCAGGGTGATGATCATTGGGGAGAAGAGATCCACCGTTAGGTTCATCGCCGACTCTGGTAGGCGCCGATGTCTTGTCGTCGGCAACACGCCAGTTTGCCTGAGCTTCGTCCACGACGGGAGAGGCCATGATGGTAGGAGACAAGAAATTTTACCGCTTCCGAGACGAGACAGGAGACTTGCGGCGGCGGAGTTTGAATCAATGGGTCCGTGCGCGCAAAACAACACATTGTATGTCGGTCTCCCTTTCTCACGGTGTAAATGTAATAGTAATATGTGATTTAAACATGGTATACAGTCCGTTGTAGAATGCGCTACGGTATCAAGTCCAGTAGTCCTCCGAATAGCCATACTTTTTCCTTTAAAGGAGAGTCCAAACACCGCTGATTACCCCAATGGCAACGAGACCGAAGACACCAAAGACAACAGTGCGGTCGGCAACAATTTCAACCGCACCATTAGAGCCACCACCACTGGAACCTGAGGATCCGGAACTGCCGGTGGAGGTGGAGGAACTGCCTCCACTGCCGCCAGTAAGAGTAGCAGGAGAAGAAGGAACGAAGGTTGCAGACGGGTTAGACACGCAGGAGGTTGCTGCGCTTGTTGCCACAGCATTCGATGCAGCACTATTGACGGTACCATTTCCAGAAAAGCTGCATGCCTGCGCATCTTTGTTGTTGCGCTCGTAATATTCGCTCATGACGTATGACAGTTTAATCGCTGCAAAACAATGAATCAGAGCTGCGCAAAGTGAAAAGGCTGTGGGTCTTACTGGGATCGCAGCCGGAAAGACGTCCATATGTTCCATTCGCACCACTGCCACCAATATCGTCGCAAGACCCACCCGAAGATCCTAAGAGACTGCATGCCGTGTTGATCAATTCACCCACAATAGTGCTGTAGTTTGAAGTCTGCGGTGTGAATTGGCAGTCAAGTGATCGGAACAAACAATTGCATGCATCCTCGTTGGGGGTGGGAGGTAAGGTGCTTGAAGCAGCAAAAGTATCATTGGTCGTGGGACACGCGGGATAGGTGGTGGTAGCAGAGGACTGCGAAGGGCTGTTGGGAGGGCTGATCTGGCCGTATTCTGTCTTCAGGCGAGCAAAATCATCGCCAGTAGTGACACTGCTCCCATCGGAAGAGATGTTGACCATGCCGAATTGACCTTGGACACTAGTAGCGGGGAAATAGGAAAAAGCAATTCCTCCAGACCAAACGTCCGACATCTGGGAGCTGAACAAGGCCTGAGTTTCCGTCCATAAACGTGGCCCACCGGTTATGCAGCCGAATTCACTGAAATACGCAACGACGTTATATCCCAAATAATCCGCCTCGATATTGGCGTAAGACGCTTCAAAAGTGGAATCTCCACACCACGCACTTGAGAAAGGCCATCAGTGAATTATTAGGGTTCGGATGGCTTTGACATACTATTCGTTCAGACCGTAGATGTCGATGGCTGTTGCACCCGAGTTGTCGCCTGAGGGGTCACAAGAGAAAAAGTTTGCAAGTGGGAGGCGGAAACTCGTATCACCATCGATAGATGAATACCCAACCAGGGCGGACGACGATTTTGACTGCCTATGGATTTGTTAACGAATGACAGATGAGAGAAAGGCTAGCGAGTGCTTACAAGTAAGCCTTGATGTCGCGAGCCGCTGCTTTAACGTAAGGAGCTACCGTTGTACCATTCGCTATGACGACCTCATTGCCAACATTATAAGCGAGGACGTTGTCGTATTGGTCAAATACATCAATGGTCCGAAGGTATTGATCCATGATGTTGGTCGACCAGGAGGGGGAGGTGCGGTCAATGGAGCCATTCAAAGGAAGTGCAAGATCGATTCTGGTGAAGGATCATCAATGAATAAGAGGTAGACGACGAAACGCGGTCAACTCACATCGTGTAAATACCGGCGTCGCTGAACGTCTTCATGCAGGCATCATGGTTCAGACTGGAATTGACGCTGTAGAGACGAATGGTATTAACGCCGAGCTGCTGGAGGAAGGGCAAGTCGCGGCTGCAGGCAGAGCCCGAGCTGAGAGGATCAATGAAGGTCGAGGGCTCTCCGAAAGCATTGTCGGAACTCGCGACGACGGCGCCTAAATCGCCCTTACCATTAAAGTGTGCATTAGAAGAAAGTTAATCGGTGCTCACCTTGTTCTTGGTATGCTATACCCTTGATATAGAACCTAGTGCCTCCCTCTTCGTAAAGGTATCTACCCGACCGTGTGATTTTCGAAATTGCATAGACCGAGCTGACAAAAGAGGAGGCGGCGGCCAAAAGCGCAGTCACTGTGCCTGCTTTGCTTAACATGACGACGTATCAACGCCGGAAAAACGCGTAGAACAGCAAGAAGGAGAGGAGAGGAAGGAGTGGGAACGAGGGAGAGGCTGTGTGAGTCGAGAAAATGCCGTTCTTATATTCAGTCCCCGCCTGAAACTCGGCTGACATGCTTCTGAAACTCATGCTCCATCTAAAGTCAGCGGTCTCAAAAGGCCTCGGTCATGGCATAAAAGGTGTTGATGAACCCTACCTGTGGCCCGCCTAGCTCAATCGGATAGAGCGTCAGACTCTTACTGACTATGGGCGGATCTGAAGGCTGCGAGTTCGACCCTCGCGGTGGGCTATTCATTTTTGCAGTTTGAGTTTTATCTTAGATCTAGCACGTTTGAACTGGTTACCGGTCAGTGAGATTTGCACAGTGCGCACCGCAGTGATCAATCTCCGGGCATTCGAATTTCGGGATTTTTTCCTCTTTCGGTTGCTGTTTTTAATGGCCTGCCACCTGGCCCGTGTTGCCCGACACTTCTAGAATAAACTTGATACGGTCGTTGGGCTGTTTCTCCATTCAAACACAGAATCGTAGTCGTGTTTCTTTCTATTCAATGACATCCAACCATCCGCACTCGAAATTCAAAATAAGCTTACCGTATATACCAATTCACCGGCCCTGTTGATACCGTACTTCCATCTTGATGTCAGCCACAGTACCTGACGATGAAACGATCCAGTCAGTGATATCAAGCATACATTCCACTCTTCCGGGACTCGGTACCGCTAAACTGCACACCGCAGTCATCGATGCGCATCCGGAGTGGAAGGGCGTGGTTGGTGAGAAACGGATACGGCGTGTGATGGCGAACTCGAAAAAGGACGCAGAGACAGAGGGTCCTATCAAGGAGAACGATGCTCTGACTACGAAACCAAAGACTAAAAAGAAGAAGAAAGCAAAGGTCACTGCACGAGCAACCTATCCAACCTCGTCTCTCCTTCCTGACTCCGCGCTGACGCTCCCGTTGTCCGTCGCAGTGCGATACTTTGACAAGCAAAAGGGCAAGGGTCTTGTCGCCCTCAGACGCATTGAAGAAGGCGAAACGTTATGGAAGGAGGATCCGTGGATTCTTGCACCAGAGTGGGACATCTTTGACCTCCAGCAGCGCGCCGTTGCTTGTGCTCACTGTACAACACCGTTTTCCCAATCTTCTGCCCTTGTGGTCTCTTGCCAGCACTGCCCTGCGCGCTATTGCACTCGCCTTTGCCTCTCACGGTCCGCATCTACCCATCCCCTTCTCTGCCCAGGCCAGAACAGCGCCAGTGTCCCCTTGCTCAAGCAGGCAAGATCCCTGGCATGGATGGCCCTGCATGCACTTTCGCGCGCCACCGCTCGCGTTTTGTTGGGTGGCGAACAGGAATGGGACGTCGTCAAGGCCATGGCCGAGCTTGGGATGGAAGAGCGGTTTCAAAAGATTCATGTGACGCCAGAGCGGGAGACATGGAAACAAGTGTGGAAATTGTATGTCGACGCATTCCGATCTCCCCAAGCCTTGAAAATCGTATCAAAGGCGAAAAAGCCACTGGGGGAGCAAACGGAGAAGGAGCTGTTTAGCTATGAAGGTTTCCTGAGAGGACTGGGAAGGATGAGCTTGAGTACGCGGTCGCTATCTGCATCTCAGCTTTGCATTCTGATATATTATATAGACCTTGAATCGCACGGAGGGTTGTATCTCCTCCACTCTCATTTGAACCATTCTTGTGATCCCAACCTGTCTATCAGGCATCTACAACAGTCGTCTGCACTTGCACGCATATCCGTGATAGCTAAACGTGCTATTTTACCAGACGAGGAACTGACAATTACATATGTTGATCCGTCTTTGGGCGTAAGGCAAAGACGGCAAGCACTAGGAGAATGGGGTTTTGGCGACTGTAAATGTCCCCGATGTGATGGAGAAGTTGCGGCCGCAGATGAATCACAAGAGACAAAGGGAGACAAGAAGGGTCTGGATCTGAAAGATTTGGAGCGCGAGTTGAAGGAAGGTTTGGGGTTATGGGGATAAGAGCGTCACATTTCGTAGACTTTCTCCGCGGAAGCAAAAATACAGTTTGGATCGACGCTCTAATCTATCTACTTCAGACAAAGCAGACATGGCAAATATGTGAGTAAATATATGATAGGTCCTCGGGCATAAGCTGAATAGGTAGCTATGCCTAGCGCCCGCGATGATGGCCAGCAAACATCGGTTATCCACGGTATGTGCAACACCTTAGGGACCGGTTAGAGGTATTTGTTAAATACACACGATGAACCCACGTACGTTATCATGTAGGGTATGATGGAGACGAAAAGACAAGCGAACGCAGCCCAGAGTAAGTAGAGCACTGGGCCGACGGAGACATCAATGCCAACGAGCACCGGATTGGAGGCGTCACCGATGAGCACGTCGTTGATAGTCGCCGACTTGTTTATCATGGCCGTCCATATTGCAGCCCCGCAAAGGATTAAGATGGTGCTTAGAGCAGCAAAGACGGTGGAAACGAAGAAGGTGAAAGCTTGCTTGAACACACCACTAGAAAAGAAAGACGAATCAGTTTGGTTAGGAACAGAGGAAGGATGAGAATTCTGACGTGAGCAAGGCCACCGCGGTGGTGACTGTGCCAATGATGATCAAGTAATACGCAGATTTGGTGGGTTGGCCAAGAAAATGCGAATTTTGGAAAGTGGTACCGCTGACAACCGCCTGGGTGATAGCGCTGTAGTTGGCAGTCATGTCGTTCGTGATGATATCATAAGGTCGGTATTCGTAGGCAGCGGTGTGGTTGGAGCAGATGCCTTCCTTGGCTGCAACGTAACCACAATGGGAGTAGAGCCCAAATTGATAGTATTGACGTAGGCCCCGGGACTCGAGGAGGGGCTCAGAGGCATTATCGGTGTAAAGCCCATAAATCGGGTCAAGTAGGGCAGTTTGAAGGGATTGCCTGATGCGAGCAAAGTGAAGAGAATGTAGAACTGGAAGAAATATACGTACCCATACTGAGAAACATTGACTTTTGCCTAGAAACGCCAGATCAGACGAGAGAATGCGCTTGATGAAGAAGGGCATACCAAATATAATGTGCGAGGAACAGCAGACATGTTGATTTGACCGACCTAAAGAATGAGAAACAGAAGATACAAGGAAAGGTGAAGCATACATTGACAAAGATTAACAAAATCAGAGCAGCAAATCTGTAGTGACGAAGACAAAATCATTGTTGAGCAACATAAGGAATACGCGATACACGCACGATAAAAGGCTAGCGAAGCCGACAAATATTTCGCCGCGCATCGTTACAGAGAGAAGAAAAGAGAAAGAGAGAAGAGAAGAGCAACTTTCGCGCCGTAACGCTGCCTCGACCAACGAACAACGTCGGTTGGAAAAGAGAAACACGACCTCAACATGTGTCGGCCTTTGCCGTGCAATGCCGCATCGTGCCGAATTGGCGTTAACATGTAAGTACTCGTCTCTCCTCCCGACGTCCACAGCCTCTTTCTCGCTGCGTACCACGGCAATCTCAATGGACACGCTGCCAGTACTGCAGCCATTTTTGCATGATCCTGGCGCTGCACCTGCCTTGAACACCTCGCCAGAGGCCCTTGGCTTCACAGACTCTCCTGTCGTACCCAGGGAGTCCAAGGACTCGTCTAGCAGTAGTCGCGTGAAACGCCTTTCGTCCGCTATGGAAAAGACTGTGGATAAGCTTGGAAGGAGTATCAGTGGCAAGTCGTCTGCAAGTCCATCAGCGAGAGGCCATCGACGACTATTCAGTATCAGCCGTAAGGGAAAGGCGACTGACCATTCGGACGGTACATCTCTTCCTGTTGCTTGGTTATTATCTAATTCAACACCTCGATTATAGGCATACCAACCCCATCCTCTACCACTACACCGTCGACCTCCCGACCGACTTCCCCCATAAAGCTTGCGCGGCCCACACCGCCGATTCAGGATGACTCTCCTTTCATTACACCTCCCTCCCCCCGCCTATCACCTACGCGGCCCAGTTTGACATCCTTTCGCGGAGATGGTTCCGTAAGTTTGTCCTCCAAATAATCACCTGGTCGGAAGACTCATATCATCCTACTGGAGTAGATGCGTGCGGGAACCCAAACTCTCATACAAGCCCTGCAGGCTCTCCCTTGGACGAAGGATCCTGATAATGATGATGACTTCGTAAATCATAGCAATTTGACGCCTGCCACAGACTCTGACAGTGAAGACGACGACAAATCCAGTGAACGTAAGTTACATCCGTGCCGACTTCATCCGGCTCCAGTTTAATTGCTCCTTACTTAGCTCCCGCCCACCTGGCTTCCTCATTACACACCATATATCGTCCTCTGGCTCGTTCCCGCAGATATAGCATAGGACCAAGCCAGCTGCATCGTCGATCGGCACTTTCCGATCATTCTCCCTCCAGCGAGGACGAGCCGTCCTTAAGCGAGTCATCGGCCCCTTCGGACGAAGAAGGCGTTGACGAGGCTGACGATTTTGAGGAGGCAACACCGAGAATGCCTGGCGCTGAAGCACCTGCCGCGCTGACCCCCATTATCTCGGCTTCTACCAGGCAAATATTGACTGCTGAAGGCCTGGAGCAGTTGGGCATGGCGCGTACCGGTAGTATGGCTACGGTTCGCTTCCAGAGAAGAGCCATGTTGGCGGACAAATTGAAGGAGGTCTTTGAACTTGAAGGCATCGAGGAAGTCCGAGCTGGTATGAATGACAAACCTGAGCTCCTGTGTGTCACTTACATAAATCTTCAGAGATGCCTTGCTGGCTGCTTCGATCTATTTGTGAGTTATCAGAATTTGTTGCACAGAAACGGCATTGACTCTTTTGACAGTGCTTCAAGGTTATATGTACTTGACAAACGCGTACCTTTGCTTCTTTGCCCACATGCCCTCTAAAGAGGTGAGTTTCTAAAGAGAATGTGCCGAATTCTAGCTCATTCCGTGTCATTCTGTAGGATCAAGTTCTGAAATCGGGGTCGTTGACAAAGAAGGCCCAGCGTACCAAACGTTGGATTAAGCATTGGTTTGTGTTAAAGAATGACGCCCTGAGCTGGTATCAGTCTTCATCCGTAAGACTTTCAAGGATGACTTGATATCGACTCTAACATCTTAGCACAGGATCCTTACTTTCCTCACGGAATAGTGGATTTGCGTTATGCTATTTCCTGCGAGCCTGTTCGCGAGAAAGAATTTCGTGTACGAACAAACCAGAAGACCGTTCTCCTGTACGCAGATTCCGTTCCGAGCAGAGAAGAGTGGGTGAAGGCTATAAGGAAGGTCATCTTCAAAGCACAGAA